ACGAGTCGTACCTTAACCACCTAGGCCATGCCGGCCTTTTCTAAAAGTAAATTTAATCTGAACTTTTTTGAATGTAGCTCTAATTAATAACACTTTTTCTTCTTTAAAAGTTTATGTATTACGTAGACATTAACATTAGACATTACGTAGACATTAACATTAACATTACGTAGACATTAACATTAACATTACGTAGACATTAACATTAACATTACGTAGACATTAACGAACATTTTTTACCCTTAGTGTATTTTAATGTTCTGAGATGGTACACCGTCAAACTTTAATCTGAAGGGTTAGCTCTTGAGATAAATTGTTAGATACATCTAATAAGTTATAACAGACTCAAAAATGTTTCCCTCGTTCTTTTTAATTAGTTAACTCTTGAGATAAATTGTTAGATACATCTAATAAGTTATAACAGACTCAAAAATGTTTCCCTCGTTCCTTTTAATTAGTTAACTCCAGATTTCTAATCTTAGGCGTGTAGAAATATAACTTAAAACCAATAAGTTACTGACTAGGAATTCTTACATTCAATATCAGGACTTAGCATATGGACTGTACCATGATGACATCCAAAAGTCGACCTACGATGCAGTTTGGTATGCAGTCCAAAAAAGTCTATAGTTTCAATGTTAAGCGGAAGAAGCAATGTAACCAACGAGCTTAAGTTCGTGATAAAAATAACGCTGGGCTGCACATGTTTTTCCACACCTTTCTTTTAAATAGTCCATTATGGAGCTCAAGTTAGAGGGGGTATTAAAACAACATATTAGACAAATCCCTCACGTAGTTTTAAATGTCATTCGGCATTTTATCTGTTTGTTTGTTTGTAATTAAGCACAAAGCTACACAATGGGCTATCTGTGCTCTGCCCACCATGGGTATCGAAACCCGTATTCTAGCGTTGTAAGTCCGCAGACTGTGCCACTGGTGGAGGGGCGGCATTTTTTCATTTAGTTCACTACTGTTTATACATCTTAGACCAGTGTGGGAAGTGAAGACAATGTTGACATAGTTAAAAACAAATTTTAACTCTTAACAAGATAATTTCCAGTTTTAACGAGTTTATGTACATATATCCCCCGGTGGATCAGCTCTAGGTCTTTATAGTAACATAATGTTCGAGCCGACCAATACTAGTATTCAGTTCTTTTTAACTTTATTTCAGTTACGGTTTAGTGTAAGGTTAGATAAATATATTGAAGTCTATATAAATTGTGTGTGTTTGTTTTAGCGCAAAACCACACTGGACTATCTGCTGTGTCCACAGTGGGGAATTGGACCCCGGATTTTTGCGTTGTAAGTCCGTATATATGAAACACCCACGATGATGTTTTTTATAAACTGGGAATGCGATAATGTGTTTATTTTTAGATAGCACGAGCAAGTGTTATACTTAAATAATATATATATATACTTAGAAGGGTAAGGTCATGTAATTCCTTAAACGGATATCACTTAAAAGTACACCAGCTAAAAAAGTAAACCCGTAATATCAATATTACGTCTTCTGTTGGCAAATTTTGTATAGTTATTAAGGGCATATGATTATATTTGTGGTGTTTGAAAATATTTATAAGAACACATCTATCTATCTATCTCTGTTACCATGAGAAAAGGATAGTAAGAATAGTAAGATCAATCAATGTAACTTTAACTCTCACCTTTGTTTTCATTCTGATAAACTCAATACATCTTCGTGAGAAGGGACGATGTGACGGATTCTCAAGTAATGAAAGAGTGAATGGAAAGAGGCACTCGTGTGCCGAGGGAAGATTTATTAACGATAACCAACAAGTACATTTTGAAGGACAGTTGTGGAACTCGTTCCCGTTCTTTATTATGTATCGAGAATTTAACAACATCCCAACGTTTGTGTAGTTAAGGAAGCAGTAAGAAGGTTTCTCTGCATGGTATATCAGTGTGAATGTATAGATGAATGAGGCCTCTATTGACCCATCCCTGTTTACAAATTTCAATACAGAACACTAATTTCTTTTTCAGGAATTCGATCATGCCTTAGAAGAGAAAGATAACTTCAGTAACATGTAGGGTAGACTTGCACCGGAAAAATATCAGAGTAGGCCTCCCCACGTGGATGGATGGATAACTACTCATTTGAATAAAATTCGATCTTCAGTCACCCATTAAGCCACTAAATCTATATTTTTATGAAGAAAGGATGCGTAAAGAAAATGAGTTATTCACATACAAAACCCCTTAACGGAAACGCTCTG